TTTCTTGGCTCATGATAAGTTGCCTAGCTATTGTATGGCGAGGGTTCGGCGGGCAACGGGTTTTGGCCATAAATCTTTTCCTGTGCGGTACTTGGGTTGCCCGCTTTTCACAGGGCGTCGGAAGAGTGTGTATTTCATGGAGATGGTGCAGTCAGTCATTAATAAAATTTCTTCATGGAGATCCAGATTTCTATCCAGTGGGGGGCGTCTCATACTCATAAGGCATGTTCTCTCTGCGATTCCGACTCACTTGCTTGCGGCATCTTGTCCCCCAAGAGGAGTCCTTGCCTTGGCTGAACGGGCCATGGCCAATTTTCTTTGGGAGGAGCAGGAGAGGGGATTCCGGCATCACTGGATCAGATGGGAAGATTTGTGTGCCGGCTTGGCTCAGGGGGGGATAGGTATTCGTTCGTTACTGGAGGTCCAGTCAGCGTTCTCACTCAAACTACGGTGGCGGTTCCGTACAAGTGATTGTTTATGGTCGACTTTTATGCGGGCAAAATATTGTCGGCGGAGTCATCCATGCATGGTGGGGGCGGTGCAGGGTAGCTCCTATGTGTGGCGCCGCATGCTTCAAATACGTGAGGTGGCGGAGCAAAATCTTTGGTGGCTGGTCCGGTCTGGTCAGTGTAACTTTTGGTTTGATAATTGGCTGGGATCTGGTCCTCTATGTCAGCGACTACCAAGTGTCTCTGACCATCTGGTAGGTGATTTCGTGTTGAATGGACGGTGGAATCAACAGTTGTTGCGGCGCTGGGTCCCGGATGATATAGTGTCAGAGATTATTACCAAATCTCCCCCAGTGGGGGTCGCAGATGATTGTGCGGTGTGGGCTTTGACGGAGTCAGGGGATTTCTCGATTGCTTCCTCCTATGTGCTCCTGGGCAGGCAGAGTCCTTCCTCATTCATGTTTAGCAGCGTATGGCATTCTTTGATACCAATAAAGGTATCTTTTTTCATGGTACGGTTGTTGCGGGATAGATTGCCTTTGGCGTCTGCGCTAGGACGATTGCATGTGTATGGCCCTTCCAAGTGTTTTTGTTGTTCGGCCCCGCAATCCGAATCTTTGGACCATATATTTGGGGAAAGGGATGTAGCTCAGTTTTTGTGGACATTTTTTGGGAACGGTGCGGGCGTGACGTACCGAGGGAGTGGGGCGCGGTCACGTCTGGCTGGCTGGTGGTGTCAACCGAAATGTAGCTCGCGTTTGGCATCACTTCACATACTGGTGCCTAGTATAATCTGCTGGCATATTTGGTTAGCACGAAATCTTGCGATTTTTGAAGGGAAGTGCCTGCGTAGGGAGGCCATGTGTGAGCGCATCTTCGCGGATATTGTGGGGCTTTTTTGCGGGAAGTATGCAGGGAAGGCTGTGGGACATGGGTCTTGGATGGCATTTTATTCCAATATCTGTGGATGGAGGCCTCGTTATTGTCATAGTCTGGTTCAATGGGTGCTTCCAACCCAGGGGACTTTCAAGCTAAATACGGATGGATGTTCGTTGGGCAACCCGGGCGTCAGTGATGGGGGTGGTGTGCTCCGGGATTCATCTGGTGTAGTGGTGTTTGGGTTTTCGACTCCGCTTGGGGAGCTGACATGCATTCAGGCGGAGATTAGGTCCTTGTTGGTTGGAGTGCAGCAATGTTTCCTTAGGGGATTCTTGCGGATTCAGGTGGAGGTGGATTCTCTTGTGTTAGTCAACATACTGCTCAAGAAATCAAGGTGTCCGTGGATAATTTAGCCGGCGGTAGCTGCCTTAGAGGTGACTCAGGGTGTGGAATGGTCTGTTAGGCATTGTTATCGTGAGGCGAATCGGGTGGCGGATGCATTGGCCAAGGTGGGGGCACGGTCAGAGGATTTTGTCTTGTATTCTTCACAAAAAGACTTACCCAGATTGGCAAGGGGGGCCTTGGGCTTAGATAGGTCTCAGACTCCCGCTATTCGTGTTAGAGTTGCTCGCGTGTGAACTCTTTGTAATTTTGATGGTTTTTCACAATAATATTTTGGGGGTGGCGTCCCTCCCCGCATAGGGGTTAGGCCATTTTAAAAAAAAGTATAAAAGGTTAATCCGATAGTTTTATCGTTTCCTTGCTAGACTGTTTGACGAGAGAAATTAACAGTATAATCCACGAAACAGAAAAGCTAGCACTTATATACATAAAAAAATGAAACAGTAGAAGTTGTTTTGTTAGGGAGGGGTGTTCTTTGGGAGGGGGGAGCGGGGAAGTGTTTAAGAAAGTTAGGAAAAAAAAGGGAAAAGAGTAAAAAAATCTAATAAATAAGCATAAATTGGAAGAAAGTAAAGGTCAGTTTCTGTTTTAACAAGAACAATTAAAATTTTGTTCACGCCCTTTAACGCCACTGAAGGAAGTAAGACAAAAGCAGCTTTGGTAACAGAAAAAAAAAGGGCTAAATGGATGAAATTCAAAGATTGGAGATTAAAGATACTTTAGATTTAAAAAAAAAGTTAAACTACTAAATGAACTACTTGCAAAACTTTTTTTTCCCTTCCAAATTAATTGATTTGTCATTCATGGTATTGAAATTGTTAAAAATTAAAAATATAGTGAATAACTATATTTTTCAATTGGTTTTGTGATTTTCTATCAAGCATTTTTATATTAAAGAATCTTTTTTACATTAATAATGGATACTATCAGGATTGGATGCATGATAACAAATAAGAATTTGAATTTAAAACTACGTTTTGCATATGCAACAAGCATTAAACTCCGCTAGCTTATACACTATCACTGTATAAATGATTAATTTTAATTAATTTAAATTACAAATGAGAATGTTGAATTCGTGTGATAACGTGAATCATCAAAGGAATTTTACAACCAGCTGCTAAGGAATGAACATTTCCATTAGTTGAATGCAGGAAGCGTCTCCAAGGAGATTTTTTTCACAAAAATATCTTGATTTTCCATGGCACATCGGGCCTTCCATTGGCCAATGGACTTGCAGTCGCTGGGCACAACAGATGGTCAAGTTTTCAACGCAAATTAATCATGTTGGTTTCCTAGTCTTCTTGTTTAAATTTCACTTCATCAAAATCTAGATCGGTAGATTGAATGACCAGACTCTTTAAGATATTATCAGCTCAAGTCAAGACATTATTAGCTTGCCTTCCAGTAATCCTCTTATCAATTTTTCTCCTACGCATAATATATTTTGCTACATGTTCGATAACAAATCGGAAACTAATATGCCAATGCAAACATAAACCAGAATTAACTTGTAAATAAAAGCTACTCATCTCAAATTTTTAATTTCATAATCTATCTTTCCAGTTCTTATCACTCATTTGTGATTATATTTCCAATTCAATCTTTTTTGGATCGTTTATGGCTCCCAATCAAATAATGCCTCACCAACTCCATGATCCACACCCATTAAAAGAGTTGACGACAAGAAAAGTAAAAGAATATCATTATTTAGCCTCTTGAGGTTGTTTAATCATAAGAAAAGTAAAAGGTTCTTTTGCATCTTAAGTAGATTGCTTTTACTATATTGTAGTTAGTTAAGTACTTGATCGTTTACTGGCTCAACTTTTCCACGAAGACTTCCAGTCGTCTGGGTTTTGTCACCTTCATACATAGTTTCTTCCAACGCAGAATGGTGAAAGCGATGCTTTTAAACTTGTATAAATGAAACCGCTTATCTGAGCATACTTTATCATATAGTTCAATATCAAAAGAAATCCAATGGAGCATCATCTTCTTGGCACTTCTTCATCTTTACTACTAGTAATGTTCTTATTCAATTCTATTCTCGTCAGCAGCCATTTTCCGTTTGGCTGCAGCAAACAAGCTTATACTCATTCAAATGTCTCCTGTATCAAGAGTGAACGACAAGCTCGTCTTCAATTCAGAGATGGATTGGTAGATGAATCGAACCGCCTATCATCTTGGATTGGAGAGGACTGTTGTTCATGGGAAGCCATTGGTTGCCACAAAATCACTGGCCAAGTGGTGAAACTTGAGCTACAAAATACGAAGGCATTATATTCAACTGATGTAGTATTTACTTGCTGCAAAAATTGCTTGGGAGGCCAATTAAGTCCATTTTTGGTCAATTTGACCAATTTGCGATACCTGGACCTGAGCAAGAATAATTTTTCATGAATCCAAGTTCCCACATTCCTTTGATTGTTGAAAAACCTGAGATACTTAAATCTCGCAAATGCAGTGTTTGATGGTGAAATTCCCGGCCATCTAGGAAATCTCTCCTGTTTACAGCATTTACAACTTGGAGGTGTATCCTTAACACCAAATCAATTGACGACGAATGATCTCAGGTGGATTGTTGGACTCTTTTCTCTAGAAGGCCTAGTTCTGTTCGGGGTGAATCTCAGTGCCGTTGAAGATGGGTTAAAAGCAATTAACATGCTTCCTTCACTAACAAGGCTCAAATTATCTGGTTTTGAACTTTTCATCGATCCTTACCTTTCACAGGTCAATTTCACATCTCTTTCTTCCATTAAACTCGGTGAAAATAGTTTCAACAACTACATGGTCCCTCCTTGGCTCCATAATCTTACTGGTGTCCATGATCTTGATCTTAGCTCTAATAATCTTTCTAGTCCAATTCATGGCCTTTTTGAACAAATGACCTCTCTAGTTGATCTTGATCTAGCAGTAAACCGCTTTGATGCATCAACGTTGGAGCCACTTTGCAATGTAAGCAGTCTTAATTATTTGGATCCGAGTTTAAATGATATGCAAGGGTCAATACCAAGTGAAATAGGCCAACTTTCGAAGCTGCAAGAATTGTATATTTCTTCCAACTCATTAACTGGTGTATTATCTGAAGACCATTTTGCAAAACTCGGAGAGCTAAAGTTATTGGACCTATCTGGAAACTTATTTGCTTTGACTGTGAGCTCCTGGTGGGTTCCTCCTTTTCAACTCCGAGAAATTATGATGTCATCCATCAAAGTAGGCCCCCTATTTCCTGCGTGGCTGCGAACGTAAAAGGAGGTTCAATGGTTAGAGATGAAGAATGCGAGTATTTTGGATAGCATGCCCAGCTGGTTTGGAGTGCTTTGTTATGATATTGGATTAGTAGATTTTTCGGACAACAACCTGACTTGGAATCCGTTGGAGTTCAAACAAATGAAGAAGAGTCCTCCTGATGGTAATTCGCCAAGCATAGCTCTAAAGTCCAACAAATTGGATGGATCTCTCAAATCGTTTCCGTCTTATATTTACGAATTAGATCTTTCACAAAATTTTCTTACTGGACATATTCCATTGCCTGATGTTGGTCAAACTGTTGCATCTACTCGTTTTCTCACACTCAGTGATAATCATTTCACAAGTAGTATCCCGGAAGACTTGTGCAAGTTGGAAAATTTAGAACATCTGGATCTATCCAACAATTTCCTGTCCGGAAGAGTTCCTCTGTGTTTGGGAAATTTGCCAGACTTGTGGGTCCTAAACTTGGCTAATAACAGTCTATGCGGTCAAATTCCAAGTTCACAGGGCAACTTGGGGCAACTTTGGATTCTGCATTTGAGTCGAAATAAATTCGTTGGGAAGCTCCCATCCTCAATGCGGAGCCTGAGAAATTTACAAATTCTTGATCTCGGTGACAATGGACTCACAGATATTATACCAATATGGATTGGGGAAAGGTTATCAAAATTAAAGTTTCTAAGATTTCAGTCAAATAACTTCCATGGAGTCATTTCTGATGAGCTCTGCCTACTCTCAAGTCTTCAGGTGCTGAACCTAGCGCATAATAATTTAACAGGATCTATTCCTCATTCTTTTATCAACTTCTCAATGATGGTATCAAGTGAACCAGGAACTGATCTCTGGGTATTTAGCGATTTCACCTGGCTTCAAAACTTCAAGGGAGGAGGAGAACTTGGGTACTCCTCTCGGAACCTTTTGCGCATTAAATCCATAAGCCTCTCAACAAATAATTTAGTGGGTGAGATCCCTGATGGGATAATGGATCTGGTTGATTTGCTAACTTTGAACCTTTCACGTAATCATTTCACTGGATAATCCCCGAGAAGATTGACAACTTGAAGCAACTTGAGTCACTTGATCTATCAATGAATGAACTCTTTGGTGCAATCCCTGAAAGCTTATCTGCTTTAAACTGGTTGAACTTCCTGAATTTGTCACACAGTAAGCTATCAGGGCCAATACCATCAGGGAATCAAATTCAGACCTTAACCGATCCATCTATCTATGAAGGAAACAGTGGACTCTGTGGCGAGCCACTCCCAAATGACTGCCTGGAACATAAATTGCCTACGAAAAATGGGCATATTCATGATGATATAGGCCATGGCGAGTCTCATTGGTCTTGGTTTTATGCTGGTATAGGACCGGATTATGCTGTCGGGCTATTGGGAGTTTTGGGAATCCTTCAGTTCAAGAAGTCATGGCGCTATGCATACTTCAGGTTTCTGGAAAATGCCTATGACAAAATCTGCGTAATGATTGCATTGAAGGCCAATCAGCTGAGGAGGAATTTCCATTGAGTAATGCCCTGTAAAAGCACATTTATTTTGTTTTTCATATCACGCAGCAGCAGCATACTCTCCTTGAGAATTTACAGAACTATGGTAATTTGTAATTTGTTCTCCAAACGTTTCTAAAGATTTGTTTTATGCGTCCCAACTTGACCGATTCTTATTCAATAAGAAAATGATAGCTTAATAGTTTTCTATTCTTTTTTTTTTCCCCAAGACTAAGAAGCTCAATAAGTTATAATTATTTTTCTGTTCACATTGGAATGCATTAAATATTCTATATCGAGCAATTTATAGGTTGTTTATCTTGCTTACTGATCGAATTTTTGTGTCAACAGATTTAAACACTTTAGAAGAATTCTATACTTGTTTATGCTAATAATTGATTTAGTTGTTTAATTTCTAATTGATATACATTCTAGCTTTTCTGCCAACAACTCTTATGAATTACCAACTACTGATTTTCAGGTATTACATTAATTCTACCCACCTAAGTTTCACTCTCGAAACTTAATTTGACCAGATTAGCATAAAAACAAACTGCACTTCCAATTATATCACTTTACATGAACAAATATTAATTAAACTACTAGTATTTAGGCCACACACCAATGTGTGTACACCTAATAAAAAACATATTATTAAAATTTTGAGTAAATTTTTTGAAATCATTTCAAAGGAATTGGTTTTACATTTTGACAATGGGTATTGGAAAATTCACGAAAATAAGTGTACAAATAGATAGTTGTTTAGCAGTAATCCAGAACCATAATCGATAGTTGATTACATTGGGTAGCTAGCAAGGTAAGTTAAAAAATAATATAAAATGACAAAATTTTATTTATACCAAAAGCCCTCTCCCCCTTTATATATTTACAACAAAAGCTTTCTCCACCTTTACATAGAGCATGGATATTATTTACTCAAGGACAATTCATGTCCCCCCCCTCCTTCCCCTCCTCGCCTTTTTGGTCAATCGTTAACTCCTATTACTACTCCTACTCTAACCAATATTAGGGAATGATCCAACTGGACCAATGGGGCTGGACAAAGAAGATCTCACCTGTATAGCAAAGAGGTTCACTAGACCAAAGAAGGGTTGCTTCATGTTCAAATCTGCTATGCTTTTTACGAGGCCATAGAAATTTCAAACACCTGATGCCCATTACGTTTCCCTTGCGTCAACATTAATCCAAACATCAAGAAGTAATTCCACTTAATTAACCTTATTTTCATTTGAACTTTGGTTATTTCTAAAGTGATAATCATGTCTTACTATTCATTAAAGTAATCTACTATCAATTAAAACTCCACTAGTAAATTCCGTGCTCTCATTTTCTGATTCTCGGTTGCACCCCGAATTTACTTCATAGTATATGCCATCACAGTGGATCTAGAAATATTATAACATAACCGCCTAGAAATTTCTTCAAGATATAACCCATTTCAATAACTTCACCTACTCATGATTTTCAATCTAGAATTACCTGTAATTTTAAGATTCAAATCAAGTGATCATAAGCCATGTGAGAAAAACTAATGAACATAAATTAAATTTCTAACTCATTGATCGCCATAAATGGTCCTATTAGAAACTAATTCTTGCAATCAATAATTGGTAGACATGAAATAAAAATGTGTCCTAGGCCTTCTGATATTCTAAACAAACATGTATGGGCAGAAGGGGTTTCATGAACATCCTCCCAATGAGGAATGTTATATGAACAGATCCCAATCACGAATTAAAGATTTGTGAAAAAAGTGAGAAACTCTAAAAAACTGGGCAATTCCAATAAAGTTTGGTAAAATTTGATAAGAGAATGAGATATTACTTAGGCCCTGTTTGGCAAATAATTCCCAATAAATGTTTGAGTGAAACTTAGGCATCGTTTGGCGAATGAGTTTGGAAGTGTTAGAATCGAGTCACAATGAGGACCGGTCACTCAGCACATGCTTTGTTGTTCCTCGAAAATCGTTATCCATATTAAAGTTCGAAAAACAATTTAATCAAATCGAACGGAGTACCATTCATCCATTTTTTTGGTCTTTACTTTAACAGCACAACTTAGGGACATTGAGTTTCGGCAAATTCTTTTGTCAAAAATGGCCCAAGTATGATTTTTATTTGAAAACTACAATATTGTTGGTCTCTTAGCTTTTTAAATTGTCTAAAATAATGTCATATTTCTACTCTAGAATATTAATTTAGTCTTTCAGTTGTCAACTGTTGCACTGAATTTGCACTTATGGAGGAGTGGCAGGGGAGAGAGGAGGGGAGGAGAGGGAAGGGGAAGGAGAGGCAGGTCATCTTTATCTTTAAATAATCTAAAGGAGCAGGTGATCTTTAAATAATAAAAACTAAAGGGCATCTACCCTTTACACATGGTTTAGACAAAATAATAATAATTTAAGAAGGGAGAAAAAATATAAAATTTAAGAAGAAGAGAAAAGGCACACGTGAGATGCACAAGTTGGTCACAAGTTCGATGATGCTGTTGGACGTTCAAAAAGAATTAAAGATCAAGCGCAAACGTGTTAGTACTGTCTTATGAATTGGTTTAACATTAATTTGCCTGTAACCTCCTATATAACTCGCCAAACTAAGCATAAATGCATGGGGCCCAAGCACTAATTAATTGAGCCAAGATTATTTTCCACTTTGTGTGACGACAAAGGACATCTTGGTGTCGTCGGTTTTGCCAATGTCTCGTCTGTATCACCTGTTTACCTCCATTCATATATAGTTGCCATTGTGTTCGTTCTATGTATCCTGTTGTTTGGTTTAAGATTTCTCCACTCGAGGTGGGATTTGGGATCTTTTTGTTTGGAAGGAAAATATTTTCCAAAAAATGTTTCCCTGATTTTCTATTGTTTGATTGGGTTATTGCTTGCGAAATTTTTTTATATAAATGAATTGAAATTATTTTTCATGTCCGACTCGGAAGGCTATCCATTCAAGCTCCCTTCCTTGCTGTTTTTTATCTCTATTTTTCTTTGTCCTGGTCTTTCTTTCTCTTAGATACAAGGACCATGCGCACGTATGGGGAGATCTAGACTTGAAATTGAAAGGGGCTATAGGAAGATCGTGAAGGATGCTAGAGAAAGTTTGATGTATGAAAATGAAATGAACTTGCTAATCTTGTGCTAATATGCAGTAAATTTGAGGCATGTTTGTACGATGGTCATTAACTATTACCGTTTGGATTGCTATTTTCTAAAGTTTTTATCCAAAACTTGTTGGACTTGTGTGGGCCAGCCTATTTGTGGGCCAACCTAAAACACAAGTGGCTAAGACTCGAGGGCTTCATGTGACAGAAAATTCTGGCAGCTGCAAGAAAGTACTTTCATTTTTTGTGTGAAGAATTATAGCCGCACAAGAGAGGAGAGAAACGAAGAGAGAGAAAGCGTGAGAGCTACAGAGAGAAAATTCTTTGCAACTTTGAAGCCTCAGTTGGAAGGTGGTTTGAAATCCGATTGAGATGAAATTTTAAACACACGATCCTCTCGTCAATCTCTACTCATCTACTGGTTCAAATTTCATATTTCCTGTTCGTTTGGTAATACCTTTCCAAACTCACTTCTTTGATAGTGATAATTTTTGGGGGTGATTTTATAGCAGATTGGCTTGGTTGGTATTGGTGATATTATTGTCATTCGAATATTTCGGGTAGACCTATATATTCCCATTATTGTGATGGTGAAGATTTTGACTGGACTAGATCCCGTGATTTTTTCCAATTTGAATTTTTCACGTAAAAATTTGGATGTCCTATGCCTTTTATTTTTCTTGCATTTTATTATCACTACTGGTATTATTATTTTGTGATTTGGTTTGTTACTATTTTAACTGGTACTTGGGAAAAGAGAAATTTGTCCTGGGCTAACTCTGATATTATGTGTCTGTACCAGTACCCCTTTCCCAACAAGTGGTATCAGAGCAGTCAGGTTAGGCTGCTCATTTGTACTAGTTAAAAAGGAAGGATTTGGATAATGGTTGTATGATAAAATTGAATGCTATTAATTATTCGATTTGAAAACCTAGAATGGAAAACTACCTGTATTGTAGAGATTTGTTTGAATCTGTTCTAGGGAATAAAAGTAGACCAAGTGATATGAGTGATGAAAAATGGGTTGTTATGCACAGAAAAACTGTTGGTAACATTAGAAAATAGATTGGTCAGAGTATTTTTCAACATTTTGCTAATGACACCAGAACTGATATATTATGAAAAAAGCTTGAGAGCATGTATGAACGAAAGATTGGTTTGAACAAGGCTAGTTGTCTGAAGCAGATTACTCGGATGAGATATAAAGATGGGGAAGATATATGATTGAACACCTGAGTAATTTTCAGAGATTGATAAAACCAGGCAACTACATTAAATTTGAATTTGGATGATGAAGTGCAGGCTCTATTATTATTTAGTTCACTACCGGAGAGTTGGGAAACCATGGTGATCTCCGTCAGCAATTCAGCCCCGAATGGTGTGTTGACTATGGCTATTGCAAAAGAGGCCGTGATGAATAAAGATTCAGGAGAAAGGAACAAGGAATTGTCTATGAGTCCCAGGCCCTGGTGACAGAAAAGAAAGAAAGAAAAGAGAAAAACAAAAGTAGAAGACCCCATAACAAAAATGACAAAACCAGAGGTAGGTTTGAATCTCGAAAAAATATTGTATGCTATTATTGTAAAAAGAATGGACATTATATGAAGGAGTGCAGAATCTTAAAATGGGAACAAGCTGAGAAAAAGGGTAAGAAGGAAAAAGGTGATGAAAAGACTACAGTAGTTGTGGCAGCTCATGATGATATGTTTGTATTCTGTGATGATGGTCAGGTGAATATTATTCATTATGACAGTGATTGGGTAGTTGATTCGGGTGCATTCTACCATGTTACTCCTCACAGGCATTTCTTCTCAACCTACACCGAGGAGATTTTGAATATGTTAGGATGAAAAATGAGGTCTCATGCAAAGTTGTTGGCATGGGAGACATATATTTGGATAC